TACATCTTACATACGCAAATATTCTCCATTATAGTGAGTCTTCCATATATTACAGGACCAATGACCCCAAAACGCTCCAAGATAGCTTGTATCAATAAAATGTTGAGTTAATGAATTGCAATAATCCTTTCGAGAGATAAATTCTCCTTTATTTTCTTTCAAACAAGGCGAACGTTAGAGCTAAACTTTTCTATATTATTCACATTTTTTTTTAATAATGTACTGCTTATTCATTTGATTAAAAATACCGTTTGGTTATGGAAGCTCATTTTGAATTAATTGACATCTTTGATCCAACTTGAATCTTACGTGTGACTCCAACAACTTGGGGTGCGTTTGGGGCAGCTTATAAGTGTGGTGGTGTTTTTGAAAACACCGCGATACCGTTTAGATCGTGAGTTTTGCCCACTTATTTGAAAACACAGTTGCATTTCTACACTAAACGCAGGTCACAACCGTATTCCAGGATAAGTTGTTTATCCTGAACACACAAGCTGCCACAAAGACACCCTTAACCCAACCGAATTGTGATGTGTAAGGCTGACATCAGTAGAAAAAGAATAAAAATTAGTTAGTTTACCAGTAGCATGAATATTAAAGAGAAAATAATCAATATTTGAATCAAAATTGAGCCCCACCTGTCAAGTTAGCGCACGTCAGCTCATGCAAAGAGTTCTTCAAATTCTGAAAATGCTTTAAACAAACCACACCATGATTGAATCATATGTAGCAGGTAGCAGCTTCTATTCTTTATGGAAGGGGTGTACTGATCTTGTTTCAACAGCTAAAGGAGATGAGAGCACTTATTCGAATATTATTATTTCATCTGCCATTGTTTGAGAACTATTTATTACGAAGCTTTCCCTATCTTCACTGGAGTTGGTTAATGGCACTAGTCATTCTCTAACTTTTTTTAGTATTTCATTGAATAATGATGCATTTATCCCACTTGTTTTCTTCTGTTACTGCTCTGGCTCTTCTGCTGATAAAACTGACGAGTCAAACAAAGTACTTATGTTAGATAAGCTGATTCTCCATGCATTTCTCATGCTCTATAAAATTTAGCCTCTTAATTCTTCTTCCACCAGAAAAAAAAAAAAATGTTTTGGTGTCTTGTGAAAAATTATTACGTACGGACAAAATAAGTGCGTATTTGATGATATTTTATGGCATTGCGGTGATATTGTAGTTTCATACTACTATAATACTGCCAGATACTGTCAATCTGCAAGTGCAGATTACACACGTAATATTTGCTCTTAGGTTGTTGAAAAATGTGTTGGGAGCGATATGAATGTTCTCATATTTCTAATTTCGAAGTGGATGCTTAGCACCACCTAGATGAACAGCACTATGATTCCCCCTCGGAGACTGATGAGAGGGTTTAATTTGTGGCATCTTAAGAAGAATAGTAAATTTAATGTAAAAGCTATTAGTCTTCTAGAGTTGGATTGGATATACAAGGCCAAATAGAAGGCTATGCAATAGGCATTGGTTCTTACATGAAGATGATTAGAGCCTTCACTAGCAATCTTTTAAGGCAGTTTCAAACTGACTGGCAAAAAGAGGCTTAAGAAATAGATTCTCATAAATAAACTTTTAAGTGTAAATGATCTTATATTTATGAGTTTATTCAAATTCATCTTGTAAATATTGATTCACCTTAGTAAATGATCTTATTTTTAACATATATCTCATGACTTGATAAATAATAGCTCATGACTTGATTTATTTATCATAAGAACTTCTTCATTCAAAAGTCTGAATTATTTTCTTACCTATCGTAAATTATCAAACATAAATTATTGATTCCCTTCATAGGTTCACTACAAGATGTCTATTTTTAGAAATTATTACGTGCTGCGATCACACGTTCAGGTTTGTGCGATACAAAGTGGTGTGTCTGCATCTGACCCGTCGTCAAAACGTGCAGTCAGCTGCACATAATAATCTTCTCTTTATTTGAGTTGATCAAAAGACTCAAAAGCTTTTTGAGTCTTCTCTTTATGTTTATTTAATATCACATTTATCCGTTAATTTGTCATTTCGAGTATGTTTTTGAGAGTGATACGATCACTTCATATGCCTTCATTTCTCGCACTCTAAGTAATTATACTAATCTTAAAATTTGATGTCTTCCTTTTTATTATTGAACATCTTCTTTTAACTTTTGAGGAAAAAAAACTCTTTCTCAAGGTAGAGTTACATCTTTATTGCTAATGTTGCCCATCTCAATATCATATGACTCGTCAACTTATAAAAAAAAATTATTCTATATTATTTGCTTAAAATATATTTGTAATTTTTTGTAGAGTTGTTATTAAAAAACTATTTAAAAAATAAGTAGATAAATTTTTAGACCTAAATATATTTTTATTCACAAATTATCAAAAAATAAATAATAGATTCATAAAATAACTACATAAATTTAAAACATTGATATAACTCTCAATATTTAGATAAGCGTCTACATATTTTATTTACACATTTTCAATTGTAGAATATTTTTTACTTGGAGTATTTATAGTTATAACTTTTGCTTAATAAGGTTTTGATAATCTAAAACATATGTCAATATTATTCGTATTTAATTATAAAACATGCTAACTAGCATGTAGCTTATGCCAATATTCGTATTTCGACATTAAATAACTTATGTTTGTTTGGAATTTATTTATAGATAAATTTAAACATCATCTAATCATATAATGTAGGAGAATTTTTAATTGTACGAAAAAAAAATCATGATAGGTACGCATGAAATCTAATATTCCCCCTCAATAGGTGAAGAGTATTGACCTTATATGGAGTTGTAGGTAATGACTGTCTTCTAATATTCCCCCTCAGTATTCAATATGAGCTATGAATATTTTTCATAGCCATCTTGGATAGTAGTGTAGTGAGACTGGCTTTAGGCAAAGTGTTAATGGTAGCCATATTTGCAACATGAAAGAAGGTTTACAAAAATTTAACACCCTCTAATTGTGTGAAACTCTTTGTAACGAAGTGAACTTTGTGTTTGCTTATGGAGCCATTTGGATTGTATTTTGTTTTGTATGCCCTCTTAAAACTAATTGGATGTCAGCCTGGTGGTAGTGGGACAATGATTCAAGTATTATTTTTTCTTAAAGCATTTAGTTATATGTTCACGACTTGTTGCCATTTGAGGTCCTTGGCTTATATATTGGAATATATTGATGAAGCTTGTAGTACTTTTCTTTAGCGTGCTTGCGGTAGTTGCAACAAATGCAAAATGGTCAACCCTTCTGGCAATTTGTGAAATTTCTCATGTTAGAGTCTCAAGTGATAACCATGATGTCACTCATTATTACAAATGCCACTTTCTTAGTGGCGGAGGAGTTGGTTGCTCAAGACTTGTTTGACATTCTTCTTGGAGTTTCAATGAGAAGATGTGGTTAATAGGTGGTAATAAATCCATTAACCATATTTGACCACAAGTTTGAATGAAAGATTTATTTAACTCCATGAAAAAGGAGGTCAAGTATTCCATCTCATGGTAATAGAAATGTCGTTTGACACCTACATATACACATTTTTCATAGGTACAAATTTGTGTAAAACTGTCCCGCCCTTCTCATATTATTTTGAGCTAAGTGAAATATTAAGCGATAGTGGCTTGATCATGTCAGAGCTTAATTAGATCATGCCTAAGTTGAAAAATCTTGGTTTTGTTGATTTGCAGGGAATGACCATTGAGGTTTACCAGACTTCTTTAATAGTGTCTAGGTACAGGATGCATGCAGGAGTTGAAGATCCAAGAGATTGCAATGCTATTGTTTCTTGATTATGAATTAAAGAGGTTTTGATTCGTATCTTCTGGTTTTTGGATGGATACATCCATAAATCAAAGTTTATTCTCTGCAGATAGGGTGATTGTTATCGCTCGACTTCACGAGTTGTAGTTAACTCTGGTTAAAGGTTTCATCAGAAGTGAGATCTCAATTATTGGAGTGGTGGATATAATAGAGGCTCAAAAAATCATCCATTGCGACACATCATTCCCATTGATGGAGAAATAAGTGATGCTGAGATTTAGAGACGAAGGATGATCATTCTCGGTAATAAAATATATTAAAAATGGGGGAAATATGTTGATGTGATGAAGCTGATAAAAAAACAACTGAAATAGTTTTTTATGTTATTCTATATCTATTTTATATGGGACTCTTTTTTATATAGTGGACGTTACACAGAGGGCTACATTCAGGTGAGAAGTACTGAAACTTGTTGCCTTATATATAGTTAGTCAGTATTGAGCGTTGTTTAATGTAAAATATATGATTGAGAAATACTGATTATAAAAAAAGTAAAATTCTCTTAGCATCACATGTTCGCATCAATGTTGAAGGTTTTGTAACGTCAATTTGGGTGAAAAAGAGTGAAACTTGATCGAGCCTAAGACTTATTTGTGATTGACTCGTTCAGATTTTTTTGTTGGAGTTCAACTTGTGATCGAAATGGCTTAATAATTGCCTGTTCGTTCTCGGCTCGATTCTAACTCATTTGTTTGAATTAAGCTTATGTAGTTATATTCGGCTCTAAATAATAATTTATTGAAATTTAATAAATCAAATAAATATAATGAAAGTACAAAATTTAATCTTTTATTTTAAAACTCTTCAAATAGAGAATTAAAAATAAAGTTCAATTTCTTTAGCCATGTGACCCACATTGTATAAGAAATTAGTTTTCGAAAAACTAATGTACATTTTTTCATTTTAAAGAGCACATGCCGGGGTGTCATCATATTTTTATTTAATTACATGTCTAATTCAAAAACTTATTTTTTTATTTGTAATCCTAGCTCAAAATTATTTAATAATTAATTAAATTTAAAATTTTAAAATATAATATAAACTTATATTATATAAATATTTTATTAATATTATTTAATTAACTTAACCCAAATTGAGTCTAATAGGAGCTCATAAAATTTTATTGCCTCCTCCTCATTCATAAATTAAGCTCAAAAAACTTATTGGTGTTTGCCGATTCAATAAAAAGCGAAGGGTGAACTCAGAAGCTTTTTTTGACCGATTTCTAACATATCAGTGAACTCGCTGGAGGAACCCTAACAAAACCCACGCATACAAGTTCCATTTTCGTGCTGTTCGAGCTGAATCTTCGATTCCTTGCCTCCATTAAACCATGTATGCTCCTCCATCTACCATTCCTCGCCAGCTCTTACACGTTTTCTGGCACGACGGCATGCTTAGCCATGACGCCGGCATTGGAGTCTTCGACACAGGCCACGATCCTGGTTTCCTCGAAGTGTTGGAGAAACACCCGGAGAACGCCAGCCGAGTGAAGAACATGGTCTCCATCCTCCGCAAGGGTCCAATCTCTCAATACATCTCCTGGCATACCGGAAGACCTGCTCGGATTTCTGAGCTTCTCTCTTTCCACACCTCTGGTAACTTTTCTAAACCTTCTACTTTTTTAAGTGAGATATCAAATTCTAATTTCTATCTAAGAGTTGTCAAATTCACCCCAATAGCTCGGGGTGTGTACTGAATGTGAAAAACTTAAAATTTGCTTTGAATTTTTTCTTAATGTTCTATTAATAAAAAAAAGAGGGAAATTTGCATGCATACCATGCGATTCTGAATTATTTACATTAAAAATAGAGAAATAAGAGCCTATCAAAGAATAAAGATGTGTCAAAATATATTTGAATTGTTAAATGAATATATAGTGATATTAAGTATTCTAAAAGATATTCAAAAGGAGATTTCTTGATATATGTTTTTCACATATGAAATAATTCGAATTCATTAGAAATCTACTGAGATAAACTGAATGTTAAAACAATGGAGGAAGTATTTGAAAATAAACGGCTTATTTAGTGAAATAAAGGTTGACTATATGATATGATATTTTAGTGTCTATGACATTGCCGACTATTTGGGGTGTTAGTTGGTGGTAGTGGTGATTTGGATGGGTAGGCCCTTGAGTTGGGTGTTGAAGTGGAGGTAGGAATTAAGAGAAGTGGGAGGAGATTTGGAGGGAGAAGGGTGCTGGGAGTAATTGATTTAGATGGTATTTGGTAAGAAAAAACAACTTATTTAAGAGTGCATGGTTGGAAGTATAAACTCTATTTGTTTGAGGATCAAGGCACTTGCATCCTTTTTGAGAGGATAAGTACCTGATGAAAACATAGCTTTTCGAGAGAGAAAATTTTATTTTTGGTGTTAGGCCTTAGCCAAGGGAAACATTGACAACCATAGGCTTTGCGATGATTGTATGTAGGTGGTCGATGATGTAAGATTTTATAAGAAGACTTGAGATTGATGGGTGCTTAATTAGCATTTAGTTAGGAGTGCCTGCCCACAAATGTAGAGGTATCGAGGCTTTATTCAAAGGGTGAAAACTGCCTCAATGAGATGACAATGTTTTCTTTCATAAATGCCATTTTCTTTAGGGTGTACGGGCAGCGTATTGGTGATAGATGTTCCACTGTTTGAAAGGGTTAGTGAAAGCTGTTTTTTGGTATTCCCCGCCTCCATTAGTACATAATGTTTTAATTTGGGTGTTGAATTATTTTTCCAATAGATTTTTGAATTCAACCAACTTATGAGCTGTTTCATTTTTATTGCAAAGAAGTAAACAGAGGATAAAAGAGAAATCATCAACAAACACAACATAATATTTATAAGACTGTGTGGACAAGCTTGCGGAAGGTCCCCATACATCTGAATGTATAATTTCCAGTGGATAAGATTCATGTGAGGTAGAGAGGATAAATGAGAGCTTATGACTTTTAGCTGGATGACATGAAGTGCATTGTATATTTTTGGATGAGGAACATAATGATGGAATGTGTCTTGCTAAAGAGGATTGAATCTTGAGTTATAGATGCCCAAGATGATGATGCCATGAGCTTGGAATTGTTGAATGGTGATAAGAGCAAACAATCTTGGTTGAGTTGTAGGAGCGAGGAAGTAATGGATTGGATAGAGTCCATACACATAATGTACTTCGAGTAAAGTTAGGTTGGTATGTACATCCTTGATAGACTACCCTGATAGGAAATTTTATGACAATTCTCAACTTTACCAGGGCTTATGATCAATTAAAAGCTAAACCATACTGCGGAATAATAGGATCACACAAATTCGAGAAAACTGGAATAAAGAACTAAATAGAAAGCACAATCAAAATAAATTGGAAAAGAACACAGGAATTTTACATGGAAAAACTCGAGAATGGGAAAAAAATACAAAGTTACGCCATCATAAAATTTCACTATGAATTTCCTTGAGTTTACAGAGAACACAATCAAATTTCCTCTCTACACACGAGGAAGCTTACAATACCTCGCTCCAAAGTCTTTCTTCTTCGATAAGACAGGAAAAATGCACGCCGAGATATCATAAATCCTCCTCTTCGATACTCCTTTCCTTCACAAGAAACGTGTCGAAGAAACCTCACACATGAACTGTTGATATGCTGTTTGATGATTAAAAACCAAATCCTGTGTATAAATTGCTTCGGGCGCATAAGCGCCTGGACTTGGTGCCTTAGCGTCTTGCTTACTGGATTGATGCCTTATGTTGGGCGCATAAAAGCGCTAGCCTCTCAGGAATAAAGTAGCGCATAAGGGTAAGTGGGGGCATATGCGCCCAAAGGCTAGCACATAAGCGCTGATCTTTTGGGAATAAAGAAACTCATAAGGGTAAGTGGGCGCATATGCTCCCAAAGGCTGACACATATGCTCCCAAAGGCTGACGCATATGCACCAGCTTCTCTGCTGTTTGCACTCAATTGGGCGCTTATGCACTCATAGCCCAACACATGCACCGAGTGATTTGCCCCTCTAAGCTGCTCTCCAAATCAGTCTCCACTCATAACATACCCATTAGCATTGAATGTGTTGGTACAACAATTACGAATAGTGAGTTTGTAGACTGAAATAAGATTGAAGACATGGTTTGAGACAAAATGAAGATTAGTTAGTGAAACCTATGAGTAGATGTTGTTAAAAGGCTCGACGCGGTGTGAGCAATAGGTAGTTGTTGTTCATTTCCAATGGTAATGGAGCTTTCTCATTTACATGTTCGATTTATTCATCTGATTTCTTTTCTTGCAAACAAACTCGAGTTGTTTGTCAATGGCTCGCCTAGGTTGATATTTCTCATTGTGGACCTCTATTGCTATTAGAATTTTTATTTTCTTTTTTGTATTATTCTTAATAATTTATTTATTTTAATATATATATATTTTAATATCATTTTTTATTATAATGGCATGTTTGATGCGTGTCCGTGTCTTATATTTTAAATAATAGATGTATCTCTTAAATATGAAGAGATGTGGCTAGTATGGTTTGTGAAATTGTGATGAAATCCAAATGGTAACGTTTGAGACCACATGCATACGTGCTGGCATCTTCTGGCAGATTATGAATCTCTAGAGAACCCATACCATAACCGAATGTTATATGTGAAATTATTTCCTGTAAATCTATTACATTATAGCCTATATTGTAATTTAACAAATACCAAATTTTCCTAAGATTTGTTGAACTTTGCATGCTATCTACTGAATTGCACTAGATTTGATCATATAGAGTTACCTACTGCTAAGTTGCATATGTATGAATACGCATTTACAATGGAAAAAATCATTTGTGAAAAAACTTTGCATCTCTTAGGTTTCTATTGTTGTGCTTGCAAAGATTCTCTTCAATTATTGGTCGCTTATGAAGAACTTCTATTTTGTTGCATTCTTTCTATCCTAGAATACATAGGTGAACTAGTCCAGGCTGACAAGGAAGGGGGAAAAGATCTTTGTGCTGGTACTTTTCTGAATCGTGGTTCATGGGATGCTTGTCTTCTTGCTGCTGGGAGCACTTTAGAAGCAATGAAATATGTGCTCGATGGGCATGGGAAACTGGCTTATGCATTAGTGCGGCCACCTGGTCATCATGCGCAGCCTACTAGAGCTGATGGCTATTGTTTCCTGAACAATGCTGGTCTTGCTGTTCAACTTGCTCTTCAATCTGGCTGCCCAAAGGTTGCAGTAATTGACATTGATGTCCATTATGGCAATGGCACGGCGGAAGGTTTCTACCACTCGAATAAGGTTCTTACAATTTCGCTTCATATGAATCATGGTTCTTGGGGGCCTTCACATCCTCAAAGTGGAGACATTGATGAGGCTGGTGAAGGCGATGGGTTTGGTTACAACTTGAACATACCTTTACCCAATGGAACAGGTGATGAGGGTTATGTGTATGCAATGAATGAGTTAGTTGTTCCAGCTATTCAAGAGTTTAAGCCTGGCCTTGTTATTTTGGTTGTTGGACAAGATTCTAGTGCGGTGAGTTGATATATATATTTTGTTATTCTTTTACCTTATTTATTGGTGCTTGTTTCTACACCTTAGGTGCTTTTTGGCTATGAGTAGGATTTAGTACATACTATAATTCCTGAAAATTATTTGTCAAGATAGATGTTAAATTTGGCCCATCTTAATAAAATGTCTTGCAGTTATTTCGAGATTTAAGATTTAAGCTTTAAGATTTAAGGGAATAGATAATTAAATAGTTATATTTAATGGTGGCAAAATAAATCCCTTTTTGCTCGAACACGTAAAATATAAATTATATATTTGTTAAATTGAATCATTTTGAATTACTTGGAATGGTCTAAATAAACTTTTCTTTAATGAAGGGTGATAAAGTACAACCATTACTTCGAATGTCTAAACAAGCTTCAATTGGAATGAAAGAGAGAGAGAAAATAAAAGGTGGTAGCATCATTCATCTTATAGTTTAGAAGATTGTATTCACTTCAATATTGTAGAAGTGTAAAGCATTAGTGAAGTGTTCACCTGTCAACAAAGAGGAGCGTAAACTCCATGGCTGTAAAATCTTTTTAAATTGTTTTTTAAATAATGAAAACATATTAATAAGTTAAATTCAAAAAATAAGACAAAATAACAATTTCATTAAGAAAAGGAAGGAAGGTGAGAGAAATTAGAAAAAAAGAGTGAATGCATTAGAATAACAGCATTAAACCCTTTAATTTTTAAGTATTTAGCATTGAAGACCAACCGAGATACAAAGAGAAAGGATTAAATCTAGTAACTTTCATTAATAAACATGAACAAATGTAGCAACAAACAAACAACAAATATCAACTGTCAATAAAGTGGACAGTACTAAGAATAAAATATAACATAAAATGATTAGTTTTATAGCACCTGATGTCGTGATAGGATGAAGCCTCTCTTAATTTCATAGCACCTAAAAACATAGTAGGGTGAAGCCTATCTGTGAAAAGAAAAAAGAAAAAAAAAAGAAGGCAAGAAGTGAAAATGGAAATAAGTTGGGAAGAATACAGTTAAAAAAAAGATGAATGGATACAACCTGCACTATCAGGAAGTGGCACTTGTTTGGATGAGTGTATAGCTTTTCCTGAACGCAAAACCTCTGAGACTGTCTTCAGGTGTTACAAGTGCTTGTCCTTGAATTTGCTGTATATCAGAATATCATCGAAGTATAACACTACAAACTTCCCTATATGGGCCTAGAACACCTGATTTATTAACCTTATAAATGTGCTAGGTGCATTAGACAATCCGAAAGACATGACTGACCACTCGTATAATCCATCCTGGGACTTGAAAGCGGTTTTCCACTCGTCCTCTGGCCTCATCCAGATCTGGTGGCACCCGCTGCATAATCTTGAAAAAGACAATGACTCTGTGGAACTGATCCAATAGGTCGTCCAGGTGAGGTATGAGGAATTAGTATTTGATAATAATCTTGTTGATTACCTGAATGTCAATGCACATCTTCTATAATCTATCTTTCTTGGGTACCTTCAGAGCGGGGACAACACACGGACTAGTACTCTCTCTGACCAAATCTTTGACAATGAGATCCTGTACTTGTCTTTGCAACTCCTCGTACTCTACTGGCCTCAATCTGTATGTATGCGGATATGAGAGCTATGGCGTGTTGAATGTCCTTCAGTGATGACAAACCCTCTGGAAGATTATCGATCATCATGTCATGGAAGTCGCACATCAGCAGCTGTATAGGTGTTATTATCTCAACATCTTCCTCAGTTCCCTCTAGTAGGACCAACGCCATTGCCACTAGAGCATCTCGAATCGATTGCATGAAGGTGGCTCTCAGGACTACCATCTCTTTTATGATGTCTATGCCTCTCACATCCTTGACTGGTAAAAGCATGATGCGTCTCTAATCCTTTTTAAATGAATAAGTCTTCTTGAAGCTGTCGTGCTGGGTCTTGTGGCCGAACAGTCATGACCTCCTCAACAGAATATGACAAGCATTCATAGGGACTGAGCCACACCACACTTGCTTCTGTAGCTGATTTTCAATAAAAAATTTAACAAATAGTCATCGTTGTTCATAACTATAAATTGTGTAATTTAAGTGACTGGCAAGCCAAATAGGTTTGAAAGTCGTTCTTGGTTGAAATTATGAGTACACACTTTTTTCAACAAAAAATTGTTGGAAGTGCCATACAACAATCCCATAAGATGAATATTTGTTGGTGAATATTGACCTACTGCACGTTATTGCATGATAACTAATAAAAGTATGATAATATATTTTAGATATAATAAGAGTCAACCTGGTAGAACAATAGGGTGCAAATTATCATATTAAGAATCATCTTCTTCTATATTTATCAAAATCAACACTTACTTTAAAAACATGGTTTTGATGGTAATATTCATTGCAAGTATAACATAAGTTTTTTTTCATTTTATCAACCATTCCATTAAATTTTTTTATTGGTAAAAAAAAAAAATTAAGACGAATGGTTTAAGTACCCAACATTGAGTATTTATTTTTTGATTTTAAGATTATGGGTTGGAAGATGAAAAATGCAATGAAATATTATCATAAAATTAGATGATGCACTTAAAAGATAAATAAAATTATTTTTACGAATAAACTTTAAGATTTAAAATTTGAGATGCTTACGAAGAAGTTAATATTATGTGGGATAAAATAACAAGTACTATTAAGCAAATTGCAAAATATGTGCTTGGAGAATCAAAAGGAAACTATCTTATAAATAAAAATAATTAGTGACAAAATAATGATATGCAAGAAAGATATAATATTAAGATTTTTTGTTATAAAAATTGATTTAGATGCAAAAGTTTGGATAATTGAAAAAAAAAAAATATTAGGTGCTCCATAGGGAGTTGTCGGCGCTTAAAAGGGGAAAAAGTTAATGTTTGGGGGTCGCCCGTAAGAAGCTGTCGGTCGCCGGAATCGAAATCCCGTCACCCGCTTCGGAAGGACTTTTTAATTTACGTATATATATATATATATAATTTTAGAAAAATATGAAATCAAACTGACCTCATATTTTTCACAGTTTAAATAAAAGAGCGCTCTACCTCAATTCCTGTATCTATCCCGAGGGATAAACACAAGACTTGAGG